GAAGCGAACCCACCTTACTCTCTGTTTTAGCGTCTGTCAGATCTCCTGAATGAACACAGAGTCCTCTGTTAGACCGTACCATTAGGACCTGTTACAAGAAATCCCTAAAACTTTACCTGTTGCGAGGACTAGAGCTGGTTTGATCACCTCAATGGTGTCGGTGCAGAACTTCTCAAAATCTGGAATACGTCTTGGGTCGTGAAATCGGCTGATGTGGATGTCCGACACCTTGAATTGGACACAGGATAAAAAGCAATATAAAAAAACCCTATTAGGAGAAAGGGTGTAAAGCGCCTTAGATTCACGTTCATATTTTGTTTAATTGAAGCCAGAAATAACAGAATATTCAGGGTTTATACAGGAATGAGTAACTCTTATTTAATGCTTTTTAATGAATTTTAACGACCTCAACAAGTACTCATGACTCTCATATATACACGGCAAAATCTTTTGTCATGTTTACCGTCGACAGGCCGCAGCCATGTCCCAAATTCCTCGTTTTCCCGCCGGTTTTGTGGAAATTTTCCACATTCTCTAGCTTTTTCTCCGCCTCAAGCTTCTTTCCCGAACATACAGCTTTACGATCAACTGGAAGCAGTTCCATGCAAATATATCGCAATATATCTGCCGAAATTGTTTTTATAAACTTTTTCTTTATTTAATAAGGCATTTTAAATGCCACAATAATCACATTTAATGAGTTTTAATGTCAATTAAGGCCTTAATTTAAAAAATAACAATTTAATGACTTTTAATGAGCTGCAGAGACCCTGATATTTCTCTGAGATTTCATTCCATCCATCTGTTAAGGGAAAGTTCTGTGTTTACACCATGAAGCTTTCTCTCTCCGTTTTTCTTTTACTGAAAAATAAATCACTCGGGACAAACTCTTTAAATAACACTTCATTGCATCTATTTATTAAATAACCAGGAGACATTACGACAGATTTTGATAGAAATTGTAATCTTACTCAGATCAGAGTTGCTTTGAGTAACGGAAGGCAGCTGCTTACCGATGGGGCTCACTTCTCATGAAACGGCCCGATAAACAGTTAGAGAAGCATTTTATATAACTCCTGTCTGCCACATCATTACATTTTACATCATACAGAAGAGGAGACATGGCTCCAGCCTTATCAAAATATTACACTTCATTCTTAGCTGAAGGACACCGCTCTCATTCCATTCCCAACTTTTCTCCACTTACAGAATGAAGATACTAACTGTATAACCAGACAGAGGGACTGTCCTAATTAGATAAACTACTGGGGAAACATTAGTTCTGACACACAACAGGCAGGTGAGTTTAGTGTATAATAAACTCACAGATCATCGATGATATTTATTCTAACACATCCACCCATCCATCCATTTTCCGTCCCTGTTTCTGTTGGAAATGATGAGCCTTTTTCAGAATTTCTAACTCATAAATCGCTGGAAGCTCTGGAGGAGCTGCAGAGATCCGATGCTCAGGTAGTAATAGACATGTATTTGGAAATTACTCTAAAAATCTGGACCTCATGGGAAAACAGCAGAAAGAAAGTGATTTTAAGTGATTTGTTGGTCTAATGAGAACAGTATTGAAGTTGGCCTAATCATAACATTAAACACACCATATCTATGGAAGCACTGAGGTAAAAGCTTCAGGTAAACTGGGTTAACTTTCCACCAGGATCAATGCAATGGTAAGAATAATGTGTTTTTAGCTCAGTTAAACTAAATCCATATTCATACTAAAGAATTTAAGGTTTGTTTAGACTATATCCTGAGCAGATTTTATTTGGTTACAAAAATAAAAAAGACTAAAAGCGATAGCCCACCTGTACAAACCAGAATATATTGTTTAAGTCGTCGCCAGGAAATGGTGGAGTGTTCCCTTTAGATCCATCTCCATCAGCCGGGTGCCGAATGCTGCGTTTAGGGTGCCAAGCCGTGTCATAGCTATCCAGCACCCAGGAGGTGATGCATGCCAGGGCCAGTCCGAGGACAACCAGCGCACCGAACAGCTTCAGCATCCTCCTGCAGTGGCGACAAAAGGGGGGGCTAGCTGCCGCCGTCTGTCCCGGACAGGGAAAAAAAAGGCTAGCTACTGGCGGAAACAGCTGAGGACGCGAATCACACTAACATTCATATGACACACCAGCTAGCTACATGGCTAAAAGCTAAGGCTCACACCGTTTATGTCGCTGCCATCGCGGCCACTGGAGATGCATTGAGGTGCGGGGTTCATTCACAGCTCCGCGCGCGATGCCTTCAGGGACATACGGGAGGTACGTCGGAGGTTTAGCCAGCTGTTAGCTGCCTACCAGCTTCCTACAGCCGGTTGGAGGAGAAACGACCCCCCCACCAGGCGAAAAGACATTACAAGACAAACAGGAGCTCCCACTCTGACATAAATTTCAGTGTTACTAAAACGGCTACTATCTTCAAAAATCCATTAATTTGTTGTTTAAAAAAAATAAGAAATTGTGTACTTTATGCAGGAACCATTTTTTTACAGTTTGAAAAAACAACGACGAAATATGGATTAAGTTAATACACATATTAACCATTATCAAACAAGTGTTAGGATAATTATCATTCATGATGCGTGAGCTA